TCTCGGGGTGTGTGTGTGTGTGTGTGTGTGTGTGTGTGTGTGTGTGTGTGTGTCCCCAGGATGTCTCAGTGGTATGAGCTCCAGCAGCTGGACTCCAAGTTTCTGGAGCAGGTTCACCAGCTCTACGACGACAGTTTCCCCATGGAAATCCGGCAGTACCTGGCCCAGTGGCTGGAAAAGCAAGACTGGTGAGCACAACTCCTTGGGCTGGGGAAAACAAGTTTATCCACGCTTTAAAAATAGTTGTTGGCGAAGGTGAATCTCCTCCACAGCCCTTAGGCTCACTCGTTGCCAAAAACTATTGATTTAAAAAAGGGTTTGTGTCTCTATGAAGCTGAATTCATTAACCACGGGGTACTTTTGCGTAGCTTTATTAAATTTAAGTGTAATATGTATTCACAGATGCTTTGGACAAGCTGGATAATACTAACACTAGTTCTTTTCCAACTTGACATCCAGATTATGGAAAGAAAGTTATAGGCACATTTTGGTAAAACAGAGTAAAAATAGAAATAAGGTAATAAAAGTAAAGGAGTGCCTCTTAGAATTGGTGTCTCCTACTTTAAAATGTATTATTTGCTGACCGAAAAAAGCTAAACATTCTGAAAGTATTTGACGCACAGTGATGGCGATGTTGATTTTTTTTTTCCTCACCAGCTAATCACCATAAATCATTTTCTGCACAACCTTTTAGGTGCTGTACAATTTTCATGTCAGTTTTATGTACTAAAAATATTATGTTAGCACAAAGGCCTGGGTTTGATCCCTGGTACCACAAACAAAAAAGGATCAACGAAAAATATCATGTAAACTTGCTCTAAAAAGAAAAAGGAAGACCTAAGAAATGCTTAAAAGTTACTTTTTAGCGGTTTCACCTAGGAGGGTGGCATTTGTTTGGGCAGCGTCTACGGCGAGACGGTGACGGCGCGTTCGTGTCTCCTAGGGAGCATGCAGCCGCCGATGTGTCCTTTGCCACCATCCGCTTCCACGACCTCCTGTCGCAGCTGGACGATCAGTACAGTCGCTTCTCTTTGGAGAACAACTTTCTGTTGCAGCACAACATAAGGAAGAGCAAGCGCAACCTGCAGGTACGGCCCGGGCCTCGCACACCACGCTCGCCCAGCACAGCTTTCGGCACCTGGCAGAGCAGGGCGGAAACCCAGGGCTGTGTGGAAAGCCCACTCACCCACCGGAAGCACCCAGGAACTTTTAGGGTTAGGCGTAGCGCTGTTAGGTGTTGGTGACCGTGGGAGACACGTGAAACCTTCTTTTACTAAATGTTGTCGATGTCTGAACCCCAGAGCGGGGGCTTGGTCTGAGGAGCAGTGAGCTGCTGTGACCGCAGCCTGGAGGACCGCAGGGCTCAGCCAGTGAGTTGGTGACTTGGAGCAGACTCTGCCTCGCCTTGCTTCAGGTGGGGTCGCCTCCCCGGTAGAGCGGGTGTGAGGCCAGGCGTGGTAGTGCACACCCTGTATTCCCAGCACTTGGGAGGCTGAGGCAAGAGGGTCGCTGAGTTCCACGCCATCCTGGAATCAAAGACTGTCTCCAAAAAAAAAAGTGGAAGAGAAAACCAAAGGATGATGCAGACATGAGGACAAGCTGCAGAGTTTCAGGAGTTCATCATAGTGCCAGCCTGCCGTTAGCCTAATGTCCATATTTATTCTTTATTACTGTGACTTTTTCTGCTTTAATGGAGGCAAAAATGATCCTTTTCTTATTTTCATGCAGCTCAACCAAAGCTTTCACTTAGTGGAGCCTTTCTTTTTCTTTTTGAATGTACCTGCACTGAGTGGGGAAATCAGATGAACTTTACAGAAATTTGCTGCCGTTTAGACTTTGCCTGAATGCATCTGTGATAAAGAGCCACGAAGGCCAGTACTTGGCACACAGGCTGTGATGGATGGCTTTTTCCTCATTCAGAGCAAAGGTTGAAAGATGCACTAACTGGGAGCTTTGCAGATAATTCCTGTATAACTTTGTGGCCCCGGACCCTAGCCCAGGATGATCGATACAGAAAAATGTCAGTCTTACAGGAAGGGCTGTGGGGTATGGCTTAGGGGTAGATGACGCGCTTGGTTAAACCTCCAGTTTGGAAAAGAATACTTACATGAATGTACATAAAAATGCTTTGTTTCTAAAGCAAGAAGCACTTTTAAGTACCTGCACTGAACCGATAAGTTAAAACCATCTTTGACCAGTTTGGGAAAGGTGTATTTTGATTTAACTACAGCAGCTTGTATGGAATTTGATAGAGGAGAAATACGGTTTCTTGGGGAATATAAACTAGTCCAGATCTGTGTGTAATACGCAGTGGCTTAAACTTTCTGAGCTTTGACTTGCCTTTATTCTAACCACCCAATTATGTTCCCATTCTAACCACTGGATTTTGTTCTAACCACTCGACGATTCTACCTAGGATAGTTTCCAGGAAGACCCAGTACAGATGTCTATGATCATCTTTAACTGCCTGAAGGAGGAACGGAAGATTTTGGAAAATGCCCGCAGATTTAATCAGGTACTTTTTTTTTCTAATTGAACACCAAAAGTTAAAGTAAAAATTCATTTGCTTGCCCGTTCCATACATGGCACGGAGGCCTGGGTCAGAGCAGTGGTGAATGTCCCTCTGATGTTACAGGCACCTGCAGTGCGGAGAGCCAGGTGTAGAGATTCTGCAGAAGCAGGCTTTGAAAATGCTCCTTGTCTAATGGGAGTGGGTTCCAGTGAGAGCAACGTGGGAGCTCCTTATGGGTGCAGTGCAGACACCATGCTGGGCTTAAATGGGAAACGGAAGCAGGCAGAGGGCGGGAAGGTTTCTGCAGCTGTCCCGGGAATCTGTTCGGGGTCCATAGAGGCGAAGAAGTAGTAAGTTTCGAGAGAGAAAAAGAGGTTGATTGGAAAACCCAGGGCTTTGCGATGGGCAAGTGAAGTTAGCAGACCCTTCTCAGAAGCATCGCTGGCCACGAGAGAAATGCAGATAAACACAACCCTGAGATTCCATCTGAGTTAATTCGTGACTGTAATGTGATCCCAATAAAAAATGGCCACAGGGAGCACAAGGACTTGAGTTCGATCCCCAGTACCAAAAATAAATAAATTAAAAATGAAAATGGACGCAAGTTGTTTTCTGGATGTAAAAGGATTGATTCAGAAATCCATGTGGAAAGTAAACGTACAAGAATAGCAAGGAAACCCCTGAATCCACAGAACAAGGAAATGGGGCTGGCCCGCCCTGGTACACTGTAAGGAGCGTGGCTCAGAAGTTCAGGGTTATGCACTGGGAGGAAGAAAAAGAAGAATTCTGGAAATAAACTGGAAAAGGAAAGCTCTGATGTAGCGCCGCACAGCAGGTGGCTCTGGATACTGATTATGCGCTGCGTGTCTCCACAGCTGGATGAGAGGGTGTTAAATGTTTTCACCATGACGAAATGACAGAGGACTGAAGTGGTAGACATGTTTGCCCTGAACAGTATACAGTGTATACACACATGAAACTGTCACACGGTAGCCTGTTACTCTGTACAGTTTTTATGTATCTGTTAAAAAAAAGTTAAAATATTTCTAAACGCAAGGATTCAGTAAAAAAATGGAATCTTGCAAGTGCCGGGCAATAGGTAAACTCGCACAGTCTTTCAATAGGAGAAGACTTTAAGGTAGAATCTGGGTATTAAGAAAATAAAAGGCTGGTAAGTTTGGATGCATTAAAAACTCCCACATAGAACGTGAACTTTGAAGAAAGAAGGAAGCAACTTTCTTACTTTGAAGCAAGAAAGGTCTGCACACACATTTTGCTGTATTGGGGCTTTCACTCTAAGCAAAAGATGACTTCTGTCTGCAGTCTAATCTCTGTGAAAACAGGGTCAGTTACGTCACCGACACCAGGGCCTGCAATATTGTCTGTCACAGCCCTAACTAAACCAGCATCCCCTCTGACGAGACACCATCCGGTGTGAGTCTTCTCCTTCCTGGGGCAGATGCGTGACACCTACAACTTTTAGAGATCTTTTCTGGCTTATGGTTACAATCCATAGTCAGCTGGCAGAAGGACATAAGCAGAAAAGCTACAGATGTTTTAGAGGTGGCCAAGAAGCAGAGACAGGGAAGGGAAGAGCTGGGGAGGGAGAGAAACCCTTCCGGGAGACACCCCCAGGGACCCACCTTTTCCGGCCAGGCTCTGCCTCCTGACAGCCAGCCCTGCTGTTCTGCCCTTGTGGTTCAGTCACCTGCCAGAGACCCCGCCTGTGCGCTCATGAGGCCGTGGGGGGACAGTCTCAGGGCAAACCAAGTAACAGTTACTATGTGTCAGCTCGTGTAGAGTTTGAGAAACTCTAGACACACTGCCTATGTGGTACCATTCAGCTGTATGAATTAATGGAAAGTTCTAGAAATACTTTTTATTTCAGGCATGAACTGAGCTGAGGCTCTGTAGCCTTCTCGTCAGCTTGCCAGCATTTTTTCAGGGCTTCAGGAACTGAGTTTTTTAAAACAGAAATATATGTAGGAAGCCTGTAGTAAATTTTGGAAGGTCTCAGAGGCAGGCCCCCTGGCAGGAGATACCAACGTGACTTTGGCATATGATAAAAATGATGGCTGCTAACCATGCACTTCTATTACAGGCCCAGTCAGGGAGTGTTCAGAATACAGTGATGTTAGACAAACACAAAGAGCTTGACTGCAAAGTCAGAAATGTGAAGGACCAAGTCATGGTGAGCACTTCTATAATTTTGATCATGGAAACAAGGTTTCTGTGTTAGTCACGTTCCTGTTGCTGGGACACAGTACCTAAACCCCACAATTTAAAGCGGGGGGAGGTTTATGTGGGTCATGGTTTCAGAGAATTGAGTCCATGGTGGGTTGGCTCCCAGACAGAGGAGCATGCGGAGGGATGTGGTGGAGAAAAGCAGTTTACACCATGGCAGCCAGGAAGCAGAGAAAGAAGGGGGTGCTGAGGACGAGAATGCAGCCTCCCAGATCACACCTCTCGTGCCCTCTTCCTACCGGCCCATGTCTGACCAGCACATCAAGCTGCTGAACTCATCAGTGGATGAAGAATAGAGACCCTCCACGATCCAGTCACCTTCCATGCACGTGTGACTGTCGGGGGACATTTCAAATCTAAAGCATAACAGTTTCAGTTACCCTGAGTCTAAACCAATTTTAGTATATGTGCTGCCGAAGCGAGCACGTAACTAGTTTTTCAAGTCATTGAAAAATTATGCTAAAGTTCCAAACCGGAAGTAAACAGATTAGTAAAACCAGTGATCAGCTAGACGTTTTACAACCCCTATGTAACTTCCAGACGCTGAGCTTATGTTTTCCTTCCTTCCAAGATCACACAGTAAATTGTTGACTTTGCCTCCATTTCCAATAAATGAGATATTGCTTCTCTAAGTGACCCTTTAATTCCACAACCCTTAAATCAGGGTGTCCTGGGGGCCAAGCAGAGCTCCAGGATAAACATGGCTCATGTGCCTCGAGTACCTGTTTTAATCTCAGACTTTCAGGAGGAACAAGTACCAGGAATTTGGATACATTTCCAATCAGTATACGATATCCACAGCAGTTTCAAGCTCAAACTTCCCAGGCGGGTTGTGGAAGCACAGCACAGCTTCGACCCCTTGTCTGGACAGCCCTGTCACATGCCTGGGTGATGGCAGTGTGGCCTGGATTCTTGGTCCCGACAGTGTCTTTTCAAACCCAGATTCATCAGAGCAACTCGATCCCGCAGCCTCCTAGAACATGCCCCTAAAGTAGCACCAAGTGAGCTAGATCGGGAATTAGCCAGAGAAATCCACAGAATAATGTGCAGAAACGTGATGAAATCCAAAACAAATGAGGCAGTTTGTGGGATGAATGTAGAATTTGGTTGTCCGGACTGAGCTCTCTCTGTGTGGCAGGGGACCCTGTTACTGATTCCACCAGGACATTGGGCGTTAAAGTGGGGCTGTTCTGTAGATGGGGTGTGTGGTCTCCCTCCTTCCTTGGAAGGATCGAAGATTTTCTGTGAGCTGCTTGTTCCCTTCTAAGTCTCCAAGGGAGCTGAAACTGTTACCATGTTTTCCTGGGTTCTGTAGACGCCGCAGTCTGTTTCTTGAAGTCTTTAGAAGCTGATGATCAGTGAAAAACATGTTTATGTCTTTATTTGCAGAGTATAGAGCAGGAGATCAAAACCCTGGAAGATTTACAAGATGAATATGATTTTAAATGCAAAACCTCGCAGAACAGAGGTAAGAGTTAGCAAGCAGTTTTATCTGCGACAAATAACAAAGGCGGTCGTTCCGTATCTGCCATGTATCTTGACTGATTCCCCAGTCTGGGCTTCCTGAATATCCAGTCCATGTGTCCTTGACCTTGCTTCTGTTGACATTTCGAACCAGATCATCTCTGTTGCAGGGCTGTCTTGCGCCCTGTGGAATGTTCAGCAGCATCCCTGACTTCTCCCTAGTGGCACTGGGTGCCAGGAGCGCTGTCCTCTCAGCTCCACAGTGACAACCGGAATGTCACCAGCCATTGCCGGATGTCCTTGGGGGAGGGCTGGGTCACCTGGGCTGTTCTGTATTTCTGGTGCCTCGGCCAGCTGTTGATCTGGACCGGATGGACATGGTGTTTCCCTACCCTGTCATCCATGTGTCCGGGTCACCTGGGCACTTTCCTCACATCTTGAAGCAGTTTCACTGTTTCACTGTTGCTGCTTGTTTTCAGGGTACGTAGTAGCAACTATAAATAACTGCAGAATGTACGTTGTACATCAGGTGCATGTAGGGCACTGCTTTTAGGCTAATAATCGTTCGGTTGATAGGTAGGGATTATCAGTGTAATTTGGGTAAAAGGTATGAAAGAAAAGAATCTCAGCTCCTGCTTCCTAATTGTCCCCTTCTCTTTCCAAGCTGTGGATATACTTCATATGCATTTATCGACAGTTTTGAGCTTTGTCATTTGTGTTCATTTAGATAAAAGTCTGTCAGTAGTTTAAATAGTAAACAGTACTATTTGCAATTTCCATGGGTCACTGAAACCTAGTGCTTGGTTTCATTGTGTCCAGTTTTTATACTTTGGGCATTTTTTTCTTGATTGTTCAATAAAGATTAAAGAGCAGACTGCATCTGTATCATCTATCCACTAAATTCATGTGAATCTTGGTTTTCATTGGGTTTATCTTCTTACAAGTTTTTATTTTTATGCTCTCCCTCTCTCTCTCAATTGGCAGAACATGAAACCAATGGTGTGGCAAAGAACGACCAGAAACAAGAACAGCTGTTACTACATCAGATGTATTTAATGCTTGACAATAAGAGAAAGGTGAGGGCCAGGGATTTGGCTCAGTGGTTCCACCACCTGCTTCACAAGCACGAGGTCCGGAATTCAATCCCTGGTACCAAAAGGGAAAAAAAAAAAAAAAAAAGGAGGGAACAGTGGTGCTTACTTTCCAGAAGAGTGTGTTGCTTTTGATGCAGTAATAGACTTGAAGTTTAGAAGAGAAAAAATTGGTTTTATAACTGATAGCAAAAACTTTAAAAATGTCACAGTTAAGATAACTTCTGCCCCTCACTGTGCTTAGTTTGGAATTAACTGTCTCCCCAAAAAGTTTTATAAGTGAAAAGAACTATTGTTAGCTTTGGTGAACAAACAAGCTCCCTTCCCCTGGCTAGAATAGGTAACTGAATGAATCTTAAAGGTAACTTCCCTGACAGAAAACTGCATCTGGGTTAAAATTCAACTGCCTCGGCCACCATGTTTTGGGTATCAGCAGTATGAGCTGTTAAAATGCAATGTAACCAGCTGAATAAGATCAAGGCTGTAAAACCCTATAAAAGAAGGAGTTGTAACCCAAGGGGGATTGATCAGGGCACTGCCACTAGGTGTGATCGATCCCCATCGATGGGGTAAGCATTTTTATTTTATTTCCATTCTCCTGCCTCTCTGTGTGTCACTTGCCGGTTGCTTTCGTAACATAACCACTTGGCTTAATGTCCTAGTTGAGAGTGAAAGGATATTTTCTTTGGTTAAAAAAAAAAACTTTAAAAATTCAGTGATTAAAAACAGATTTATTTCACCTCACTTCCTCCTCTGTGACTGTAGGAAATAATTCACAAAATCAGAGAGCTGTTGAACGCCACGGAGCTGACCCAGAACACCCTGATCAGTGACGAGCTGGTGGAGTGGAAGCGGCGGCAGCAGAGCGCCTGCATCGGGGGGCCTCCCAACACTTGCCTGGACCAGCTGCAGGGCTGGTAAGAGGAGGCCACAGCCGGCCCTGCCGGAGCTTCCGGGCGAGCTTAGCGCGGTGCAGCTTCTTCCGGGCCTGGAAACACTAAGAGAGCACGGTGTTGTTTGTGACGGTGGCCACATCCAGCCGTGTCTCTTAGTTCAGAGGCTGCTTAGACCTGGCGAGGCACCGCCGGACTCTCCCCAAGCCCCGGTGTCGTGGGTGCTGGGCAGCACGCTTTGCACCTCCCATCCTGGTGGCTTATCAAGAACATCACATCTGGGGCCAGGGATTTAGCTAAAAAAAAAAGAACATCACATCTGAGGCCTTGGCTGGTCTCCCAGGAAGTATGGGTTCGTCACAGTGACCATTTGGTCATCGCCCAGAGCACTTGGGAGAGGAGGGTTGATTCTTGTCCTTGCCTGGCAGATTCTCAGTGTGGGGGACAGAGAGACAGACACACAGACACAGGAATGGTGCTGCACGGTCTAGCAGAGCAGGGCAGTGACTGCACCACGGGTAGCTGGAGAGGCCGGGTGGCACTGACCCAGGGTGCGTTTCCCTGGTGCTTGGAAAGCTGCCCTGGCACAGCCGGGTGGGCGTAGAGACGAGGTCCTGGGTCCCCGGAGCTGTTAGCAGAGCCAGGAGAGGCCACGTGGGCTTGGAGAGTGTGGCCCTGAGGCGGCCCAACCGTTGTCCAGTGCCCGAGGACCCTGGCCTGGTGGCGCATATTCATGAGACTGCGTTGTTAATTGTTTAAAATCCCAGTCTGGCCATTTGCTTTCATTTGGTGGTTGCTTGTGCACACTCACTTTCCATGGGTTGGAGCAGGGCCCAGGCTGTCTGCTCTTGGGCCCTGAGGCCTCCCTGTCCCCTGCTCCCACCTCAGCCCTCTGAGTGGCTGGGGGCCCCCTAGTGGTCACCATGGGCCGAAGGTGCCTCTGCAGGGACAGCACCCTCTGGTGTCCCCACTGCACCCTGTGAGGGCCGTGTCCGTGCCAGGGCTCCTGGGCAGGATGTCCCGGTCCCCTGCCGCCACCCTCCTTCACGCTCTGGGGTGAAGGCCTCTCCCATTGCAGGCTGGGGCTGGGCCAGGGAGTGAAGCTTCCCAGTGAAGCGGGTGGGTTTGGTGGGAAAGGATGCGTTTACACACTTGCTGTGTCATGTCCGGCCAGGGAGCGACCCCTCACAGGTCGCTGCTTCAGGAAGGAGGGCTGAGATGGTCCCTGGGCTTCCTCTTTGGGCTGCACGTCCTCAGGCTGTGGGAAGCTGCAGTCTGTTCTTTCTCTCCCCTCCCTGTGTGGTCCCATGGCTGGTGCCCACATCCCTTTCTCAGTGTAAAATGTCAGTGGCTCCTCTTGGGTCACCCGAGGTATCTGCTGCCATTGGCCCGGCCCCTGTCTGCCCCTTCGCTCTGCCCTTTTGAAATCCCAAGAACCTTAAAGGTCTGTTGAGCCTAGCATGGTGGTGCATCCCTATAATCCCAGCTTCTTGGAAGCTGAGGCAGGAGGTTCAGCATTGCGGTTCCCGACCATGGCATGGTGCAAAAAGATGCAGGATTACTCAGAGATCACTAGGAGTCAAGGTCCAGGCTGTATTCCCAAGAGGGCCCAGAGAGGCTGCTGTTAACTGAGACCCTCAACGGGAGAAAGTCTTAAATGACAGCCCAGAACTGAAGCCTGGCTGGCCTTTTATTGATAGAACCAGGAAGTGAGGCTCAAAGGAAAAAGAAAGGTGTCTGGGTCTGTCAGTGACTGACTGTGGAGCGTCCCTCCTTAAGGCAGTGTGTTTTGTCCTACTGTGACCGTGCTCCCTGGAGGCTGTGGGCTTGTGGCCCTCCAAGCCCCTTGTCTCTGTGCTTCCCTCCTGTGCAAATCTCTGGCCAGGGCCCCCACAGATCTCAAGTTCAAGGCCAGTCTGGACAGCTAAGTGAGACCCTGTCTCAAAATAATATAATAAGGAAAAAGGGCTGGGATCTGGCTGGGTGTTGAGGGACCCTGGGTTCAGTCACAGATGACTTGGAAGCCCACGTGCATCTCAGGAGCCCGCAGAGGCTTTTGATCTGGGCTGTGACCTTTGCGTGCACGCTGGGGCCTCAGCACAGGGAGCGCGTGTGTCGCTCCGGTCCCTCCCAGGGAGTGTGCTGGTTTCTGTGACCCCCCGCCCCCACCCCTGCCCGGCCGCTGGGTCTGCCTCTCACTGAGACGCCATGTCTTGCACCCAGGTTCACCGTGGTGGCAGAGAGTCTGCAGCAGGTACGGCAGCAGCTCAAGAAGCTGGAGGAGCTGGAGCAGAAGTTAGCCTACGAGCACGACCCCATCACCAAGAACAAGCAGGGGCTCTGGGACCGCACCGTTGCCCTCTTCCAGCAGCTCGTCCAGAGGTAAGGCTGGCCCGTTCATTCGTCAGAGAAGCGCTTTCCAGCCGAGCAGACCCTTGAGGGGTCTCATGGCCTTGATGCTTTCTGGATCCTTCTCTGTTTCAGGCTCCTCATTCATTCTGCCCCCTGGCCTGGAACTGTAGTAACTCTTTCCTCCTCCTCCTCCCTCTCACCCAGTCTGTGCTGGCACCTGTCAGCCCTGCCTCGGGTGTTTGTCTTTTCTGTTTAGTGCTGTGGCATCTCAGGCCCTCTTCCGAACTCCTAGCAGGGGGCCTGTAGCCCGGCTCCCCATCCCCTGCCACCCAGGGGCGCCCAGCATCTGGTTTCCAGGCTCACTGTGTCTCAGGGTTCCTAGCTGCAGGGACACCTACCTGTGCTTCCCCTGAGCCTTTCTCCCACCTAAAGTCCACTTTGTACCCCTCTGTCCAGAGGGCAGCATCCTAGAAGCTTCCTCGAATCCTGAACTCTTCCCGTGTTCCCAGGCACACGTTCGCTTCTCCAGACCTCCGCAGCTCATTGTTTGATCCTCCCTGTCCTGCCTCATGCTGTCAGTGGTTACTTCTGTTACCTCAGCTGTCCTGCTGCAAGCAGGGCCTAGCACTGTGCCTTCTACTAAACAGCAGAGGGCGTCCCAGGTGTACTAGGGGACAGACATCGCTAAATGGAAGACCAGAGTTCATGCCACAGGGTGTTTGATTTGTATCTTGATAACTGTCCAGACATAGAGAAAATGCCCATATGCTGGATTTTAAAATAATTAAGGATGCTTCTTTGTATTTTCTGTGCATACCTGACTGTTGGTGCAGATTTACAAATGAGCATAACTGAATTCAGGCATTCTGTGTTGGCCAGTGTCATGGGTCTCACGGTCGTGGCGTGCTGTGTGTAAGTAGGATGTGGGGCTCTCTCCACTAACTGGTGAATGCCGCTTTGTTTTTCCAGTTTGTCAGGCTCTTTCGAACTGTTTTCCACCTTATGCTCTCTAACTCCCTTCCCTCTTCAGTCATGTATTTTTTTTACTGCCACAGCCTTGATAGAAATGCTAATTTGTCCACGTTTGCTGGGTATCCGCAGCTCCTTCGTGGTGGAAAGACAGCCGTGCATGCCAACGCATCCACAGAGGCCTCTGGTCTTGAAGACTGGAGTACAGTTCACCGTCAAGCTGAGGTAATAAAGAAAAAAACGCAGCTGTGGACACTGCCCATGGCAGTTTGTCCCCGTTATTTCCTAATACCAAAGCTATTACAGTGGACCCTTGAGTTACGACTGGCCTGACATAATGAACAACTTGAGTTATGACTGGAATTTTAGCTTTAACTTATGACCAAAGTCTTGAATGCTGGCCCCTTGTGCTTCCAGATGGCCTCAGACTTAGCCCTTAAAAAGTTCTGGGAGGAACGTGACAACGTCCTTTCCTTTGGGTGGTTAACTGAGAAATCCTGGGCCAATGTCCAGGACACTGACATCCTCCTGTGTACAGGAGAGAGACTTTGAAGGCTGTGTAGAGGAGCCTGAGTCTTCACTGACCAGCTTGACTTACAACCAACCCTTGGGAACAAATTAAGTTCGTAAGTCAAGGGTCCACTGAATATAGGGGGTTTAAGAGGAAATAATTTTTCAGGAGGCATTGTATTAGGAATTCTTAGAACATCGCAGATACCGTCTTTTATCCTCAAGATAGAAGTACGGCCAATATAAATGTAAGGACACAGGTCTGTTTTTCCCCTGGCTGCAGATGTAATGTATGAGCATAGTAAACAGGAGTTCACAGTTGCCCACACGAACGTGGTAGAGCGTAAAAGTTCTAGGGCCTCCCTGCTCCTGAGAGTAGGCTCATAACGAGAGCTTCATGACTCCCTGAAAAGGAAGCAACTCTTGAAATAGATTAAACCTGATGGTTTTTCTGGTGAGTGAATTCATAGCTTTCGTGAGATTTCACAGCACCACAAATGCCTGGTGTTTATCTTCCCATCGTGTTGTCCGTGGCCACACACGCGTGCAGAGCTGCATGGGTGTGTGTATATTCCTTACACAGGCACACACATGAAATACAAATGTACATTGTTTCACCTTTGGAGATGAGAACTATACGTGCTACTGTTTCGTAGCCCGCTTTTCTCCTTGGTGCTTGTTGAAGTGTTTCCGGGTGAGAACATCCGGCCTTGCCCTGTTCCAGTGAATGGCCACAGGCATTCATCTGCTCCTCTGGAGGTGAGCGCTGCACCCCAAGAGGGGGACTTTCCCTCAGGGGTGCCTGCACCCTTTCTCTCGGGGTGCTGTGCCCCTTCCCCATTGGGCCATGAGCAGTGCCACAGGCTAGTGCCCGTGGAATCCGGAACTCAGCACTGTAGGGAGAGTAGAGATGGAATCCATTGCTGACTCAAGGCCTGGGGCTCCTCCCACCCTCCAGCTCGCAGAACAGGGACCCCCAGAGTCCCAGAAGCCCAGCGCTCCAGCCTTCCATCTTTCCACACTGCCCTGGTGTACAGGAGGGCAAGCTTCATTTTTCCAGTTGTGCGGGATGGTTTTTCTTGTCTCCCACTAGGACAGAAAAGTAGTTATAAGTTCTACAACAAGTAATGTTTGTTGCTTTCCACCCATCTGAGGCCAGAAGCAGAACTTTTGACAACACTTTATGTTGGGGAGGTTTTATAGGACACAGCCACCCTTGCTGACTCTGATAGGAACAAGAAGTTAGTGCCGAGTTTCACCAGAACCTTAAGCTGTGGTTCTGCCCTTGCAGTTTCACAGCTAGGAACGGAAGCTACAGGTGCATGTATTGAGAAAAAGCCAAGCAGATGTACGGCCTGCTGGTTTCATTGTTTGTAAGAACCAGCAACTAGAGGGGTGACGGTTTCCATACGCAGTCATTGATGGATGCTTGGCATAGTAAATAGATTGTAGTAGATCATTTTTTTAAAAGTAATTTTTCTTTTTCTCTCTAGACTGTTGGTGAAATTGCAAGAGCTGAATTATAACTTGAAAGTGAAAGTCTTATTTGATAAGTAAGACATTTTTACTATTATCTAAGATAAGGTACCATACAAATGCTAGTTGTTCACCACATGTAGACCCCTCACTGCCATGAGCTGACTTGCGGTTGCTCGGCAGCGCCGGGCCCTGGGTGGGAGGACGTGGCCTTCCTGGGGCGCCCGGCTGCCAGAGAGCAGGGCTGCTCCTCGGGTCCCCCAGGGCCATCTCAAGTGACCTGCAGATAGAAACTGATGGCTGCCACCCCGCACGTTGGCCTCACCCCAGACTTGTGCCTTCTTAGATGACAATGAGCGAAAGAGCGAGCATGGAGACCGCAGTGGGCTGGGCACACGAAGGCCCGCTCCCGAAGGCCGCGCTGTGGGTCAGGCTGTGTGGCTCTGGCCAGCTGCCAGGCGGTTTCTGGAGTGAGCTCAGAGGCACAGGGCCCATTTGCCATGCTGTGCTTTAGCTCAGCCCCTCCTTCAGATTGTTTGTGCTTTGTCTTTTCAGTTCCTGCCTGCTCTGGTCTTTCTTCTGCCACACGCTTCCTTTACTGTAAATTCTTTGTTTTTGCATGGAAAAGTAGATCCCTCCTGTGGCAATTGTTCTTCACAAAACACTGCCCTTCCAGTTGAGATATAAAAGGAGGGTAGCTTCGTCCTGTTCATAGTGATCTCTAACCTATATCTAGGCTGTAATGTGGCTTAGTTTTGGTGTTGCTATAACAACATACTTGAAACTAGGCAGTTTATAAAGCACAGGAGTTAACTCATAGTCTTTGGTGCTGGGAAGGTCGGGATCGGGAGGCAGCATTGTGCAGCGTCACATCCTGTAGGGGGCGCCCTGTGGGCCCAGTGTGGGGATCACAGGGCAGGAGTGGCAGCAGCCAGCTGGGAAGGCCCGACTTGCTTCACAGCAACCTGCTCCTGGAGTGGCCATGCAGCCCCACCAGACCTAAGCCACGTGCCTGTCCTTTCAGCGTGGCCACCTGGGACCAAGGCATCAGGCCTCTGGCCCGTGACCTCTAGGGGACAGGCCAAAGCCAGACCGCAGCGGTCACTGGGTCTGTGCAAAGCAGGCCTTCCAGATCTCGGCCTCAGACCCCAAATAATGTGGCTCCTCCAGAGCTCTCTCGAGCACTGTGGCACTAGAGTGAAGGTGAGGGCGGGAGGGGTCGCTGTGGAGGGTCCTCTGGCGTCTGTGGAGGCACAGTGTGCGCGGACCCTCGCACAAAACTGGGACTTCACGAAGCTCACACCTCATGGGGTCCTGGAGGGAAGGTTGGTGCAGGGTGGGAAACTGAGACCCAGACGGTTTGTTCAGTGACATGTGGCGTGGTTAACGTAGGAGACAGGCAGGGAGGGAGTGGACGAAAGGCCAGCAGACCAGCACTGTAGAATGTTTATTTGTCTCTTACATGCCTGTGTTTTATGTTTCTGTTAAAGCTAATTACAAATTTTAAATCCATCCTTTTGTTTCTGCAGGGATGTGAATGAGAGAAACACAGTGAAGGGGTAGGTGTTGTGCTCTGCACCATGTTTTGCTACCTTGCTGTCTGAGTTTGAAGCCACTTAAGCATTGTGTCTGGTTGTGCAGGTTCCGGAAGTTCAACATCTTGGGCACACACACCAAGGTCATGAACATGGAGGAGTCCACCAACGGCAGCCTGGCGGCTGAGTTCCGACACTTGGTAGGAGGCCGGGCCCCTGCGGCGCTGTCTGTGGTCTGCCAGGACTCGAGATGCTGGGTGGGACTGGGCGAGGCTGACTGGTGACCGCTCGTCACCGCCCCGGGGCGGCGCCCAGCAGTGGCCCTGTGTGTGCCTAAGCTCACGCGCCACTCCACAATGTGCGCGCCAGGGGGAGCCCGGGGATCACTCGAGGCTGCTGCTCCCGCTGTCTCCTTCCAGCTGGATTTGTGGGTTGCACTAAGAGGCGGTTGCTTCCTTCCACCTCCATGGCGTTGGGCTGCTGGGCGTCACTGCTGAGCCTGAAGCAAGGTCACGTGTGCCGCTTGTCCCAGTGGCCGGCTCTCCAGCCAGTGCACCTTGCTACTGCGTTTAGCTCAGAGGCCTGCAGGTTACCGGAGGTGCTTGGGGCCAATGTCCCCAGAGGGTGCTCCTGCCTGAGCCTGGAGTCGCATGCTACACGTGTTTGGGGTCTCCAGGCCCTGCACTGCCCGTCCCATCCAGCTGCAGTGACAGGTGCTCAGTTGGGACCCAGAGGAGGCCACTCTGCCCCGCCCCCAGGTCTTGTCCTCTCTTCCTGGTCCGAGAGTGGTCAGTGGCCAGAGTGACAAGAGTGAGTCCAAGCTGATGGCCAATGTGCAGTTCATTGAGGTGGTTTCTTGTTTTTCAGCAACTGAAAGAACAGAAGAACGCTGGCAACAGAACCAATGAGGTGAGGGCCCCTCAGTCACTGGCCTCCAGACATGTGGGTCTGCCCCCGAGTGTTTGGGCCCAGCGGGGAGGGGGCCAGGTCGGTGATAATGGTAAAAACCTCTGCCGCCTGCTTTCCAGTGTCGGGCAGCACGGAGGAGGGGCTGTTGAGTGTCAGACTTAGCTAGGCACAGTCACTGTCGGGGGGCCGAGCCCATTGGCGGCTACATGCTGAGGACCGGGTGCTCCTGCCTGTGGCGTTGATGCATTTCACTGAGGGCAGAGACAGGCTAGAGTTTGGGTTTGGAAGGGGTTTTCCCTCTGCACACAGCATGTGCTGTCCTTCTGACATCGCTGGGACAACGGGACAGCCTCCTGGTGGCCCCCAGCCCTGGTTTGCTCTGTAGCTGCTGTGCATCCTCATGGTCTAGCCTCGTTCTAGCCTGCCTATTTCTAAGCCAGTTGTACTTAAGGGAAGCAGTTTGCATAAAGGCGCTTTGAAAATCACCCTTTCTCCCCAAAGGGAAGCACTTCTGACACGCCAGCAGTGCACTCTCTAGATAATCACACCCCAAACGCATCTGCACCAGGGAGCCGCGGGTTTTGTGCAGATCTGCTGAAGCTGCTGCTCCCCCACATGCGTTTCTTTCTCTGAATCGCTAATCTTTGCCGTAACTGCAGAGTTTTTACCTCCGGGAGAGCACTGAGAAGCTTGGAAAAATTGAGTCTAGGATCGACGGTTAAATATTGGAGTGTGGTCCAGGATCTCTGAAGTTTCTTTATTTCGCCTTTAAAAGTTGCAGGATCGGTGAATAAATCCTTATATTCTTTTCTTCTTCTTTCTCTCGAAGGGCCCTCTGGTCGTTACTGAAGAACTTCACTCTCTTAGCTTCGAAACCCAGCTGTGCCAGCCTGGCCTGGTCATTGACCTCGAGGTGAGACTTGTAGGGGCCCCAGGAGAAGGCTTTATGTTTGCACCTCACTACTACATGCCTTTCAGTTTTCTGGTTTTTGTTCAGTTACTTTTTTCAAGTATAAACTGTATACAGAATTACAGTCCATCCTCTGCTAACCTGTGAGAGTGCACATTTGTCGGGTTGAGATGATCTCGGGCCTTTGTTACCTTGCAGACAACCTCCTTGCCCGTGGTGGTGATCTCCAATGTCAGCCAGCTGCCCAGTGGCTGGGCCTCCATCCTGTGGTACAACATGCTGGTGGCGGAACCCAGGGTATGGAAACGCATGTGCTCGCCTACGGGGAATTCGCTGGGGGCCCCTGTTCTAGCTGCTGCGTCTCCAGAGCAGCCTGTGGGGTCCAGATGTTGAGAGGGAAGTGACTCGTGTGGGGTCGGAGTGACCCTGGGACAGTGCAGCACACGTGCGCACCCGGGGTGAGGAGAGGGCTCTGCTCCATGTGCCGAAGTGCAGCCAGATCTCACTGCAGAAGAGGCCTCTGCTCTTCCTGTTTTCACTGTCACATCTCAAAGGCACGCTGCACTCTTGGAGCGTGGCTTCTGCCTCCTGCTGCTTCCGGGGCTCCTGTCCTCAGCATCGTGGGGGATGCAGGCTTAGGGTCCCAGGCATCTGTGGCCACGTCTGCCCACCCATCACACGTAACTTGTGTGCATGTGTCTAACATGCGTGGTGTCTGTTCACTCTGACGTGCTGTCAGCAGCGCGGCCGCTCAGGCTGAACGTAGCATAGCTGGCACGCACCTCTGCGTGGCACGACCCAGCTCTCGTGCACAGAGTGTCACACGGCACTTCAGCACTGTGCTGGGCACCAGCTTACACAGCGAGATCACCAAGAGAAGCGCACGGCTGAGAAAACGTCGGTCTGACAGGTGCACACAGTGCACTCGTGTGCAGTCCGGTGCCGGAATGAGAGTCCCGGTGCTGAGTTAGAGGCCAAAGTGTTGAGTGGCTCTGTTCCTTCGTCCCCCTCTGAGATCACAGCGTTGGTGACCACAGGTTGCCACGCTGTTGCCTTAGGAGTGACAAATGAATCTGAACAAATCCGCAGATGCAAATCTGCGACCAATGAGAACTCCCTTCCCCAACTGTGAACGTGTGTGTGTGTGTGTGTCCCAGAGTGGACCTGAGTGGACGCGGATCTGGGCCGTGGCAGTGCTCTGGTGACCCTGGCGTGCGGGTGTTTTCCCTCCAGAACCTGTCCTTCTTCCTGAACCCACCCTGTGCACGGTGGGCTCAGCTTTCAGAGGTGCTGAGTTGGCAGTTTTCCTCCGTCACCAAGAGAGGCCTCAACGGGGACCAGCTGAGCATGCTGGGCGAGAAGCTTCTTGGTAAGAGCTGACTAACTTCATGTGCCTGGAAAAATCGCAACCGAGAACCACCTCTCTGCTCGCTCGCTCAGTCCTGTTCATTCTGTTTTGGGAGAGGGTCGAGGAGTATTAAAATCCAGCTGCTACTTCTCATAGCCAAATGGAAATCAGACCTCACTTTGGAAAGAGACAGACCCAAGAAAGGGTTCCTTGGTGTTTCCTGCTATGTCTGAGAAGCGACCCTGAGGGGAGGTTCCTTGGATTTTATAAAATGTATTCTTCTGTGGAGGAAGGGAGTTCCTAAAGGTGAGGTGCAGGCTTAGGGTCCTCATCTCTCAGACCCCAGGCTTTTGGTCCAGTGGGTCCCGGTCAGCACAGGGCCACCTTTCGTTTTGCTCAGAGTCCAGGTCACAGCAGGTCGTTCCTTGTTCGTGGCCAGCGCCCGTGGTTTATGAGTCTGACACCCAGACAGACTCGGGACTCCTCGTCTCAAAGTCAGGTCTCTGAGTGAATGCGCGAGTTGGAATCATTTCCTAGGCGGCTCTTGTCACATTTATTTCTGCGCGTTCCCACACCCTGGGTCCTCCACGGCACTGTGGGTCCTCCACAGCCGGTGGGCTCCTGTGCGGTTCAGTATGGCGGCGCCCACACCCTTCCTCCCTTTCCCAGCCCGTGAAGTCCGATAGGACCTTCTTGGCCCATGTGGCTATTTGGGGTTCCCTCGGGAGAGCGGTGCCAGGGCTGTCTCAGTGAGGGTGCAGCAGCCTGCCCGTGCCCTGGCCTGTCCGGAGGCCCGAGGGACGCACGTAGTGAATGGCTGCAGTGTGACTGTGAAGTCAGGTGTCAGGTGAGCACCTATGCATGATCTTGGTCTTCGTGTGAGCTTCAGGAAAAAGTCCGTGGAGGCTGTAGAAGAGGGGGCTGCACAGTGCGGGTGCTGGGCAGGGAGCTCTGAGTGCAGCATCTGCAGAACGCATGGGAGGCCCAGTTCCACCCAGACAGGGGCAGCGGGCAGCTGAGGGTAATGAGAGGGCTGAGGCAATCTCACCTCTCTCCCCAGGAGAGGAGCTACAGGGAACCGATGGTGTGGCTCTGCAGTGCTGTTTTCCCTAGAAAAGCTCACGACCGCAGTGCCCAGGGTCCACCATCCGTGCCTTCAGGCCATGGAAATAAAACCAGCGAACACCTTGCAGACTATTTTAACCACGTCCTTCCATAGCATATTTGACCCCTGTTAAATCAGCAGCATATGCTGGGTCTCCCTTCCTCCCTCGGATGGGAGGCTTTTTCTTTGAGAGCAAATCCAAGAGCTACCGGTCCCCTAGGGCGTCAGAGTGACTGCCGGTTGCCGACAAAGCGTCTGTGTCTGCCTAGGTCCTAACGCTGCCCCGGACGGCCTCATCCCCTGGACTAGGTTTTGTAAGGTGGGTCGCCTGGCGTGGGAGCTCTGAGTGCTGCTTGCTCTGTCACCGGGCTCCCACGTTCTCCGGCTGCTGCGGCGCCCTGCTTGCTTGCTTTGGCTCATCTCTCTCTCGCCCATGGAGGCCTGGGCCAAGCTGTTTTCTTCCTTCATGCAGAAGTTGGTCTCCTGGCCAGAGGCCCACAGGAAGCACTTGCCGGGCGATAACATTCTTTCCCTCCCAGCTCCTGGCCCAGCAGTGTTTGGCTCTATCCGTGTGAGTGCGAACCACGCTCTGTCACCCTGCAGCGTCCCTGGCCACTGCTCCTGTTTGCAGAGGGAAGCAGGGCCCAGCTGCAGGGGTTGGGGAGACCCCGTCCAGGCTGCTGCTCTGTGCTGGGGGCTTCTGTCTGTGAAGCCGGCGGGTGCTTTGCGATTGAAAACCCAGCGGGGGAGAAGGGGTACCAGAAGTCACTGTTCTGATGTTCACTCTTGGGTGTTTTCAGGAAAACATCAATGATAAAAACTTTTCCTTCTGGCTTTGGATCGAAAGCATCCTAGAACTCATTAAAAAACACCTGCTGTCTCTCTGGAATGATGGGTAAGAGCAAGAGCCACTGACAGTTGTATTTCTGAAACATTTTCGGTGCCCACTCCCTCACTGCCAAACCAGACAAAGCATGAGTGGGTGTCATTGTTCGATGGGTTGTGTCCTTTCCCAGAGGTGCACATGTGCGGGCCGTCAGGGTTCCGTGGCAGAGGAACCACATCAGATTGAACTTACACTTTCTTATATATGCATACGTGTATTTCTAAAGCTGAACTTTAAAAAATACTCTGGGTGCCACTCATTCATTCAACAAAAATATCTTGTGCACCTATTACATTGTCCCTAGAAAAGAAATAAAAGCTCTTTCAGCTTGGGGAATTGTGCCTAGCTCATTTTCCAGATCAACTGAACAAAGGCTTTAAGTTGACCAGAAGGGCTCGAATATGAAAACTGGATTCAGTATAAGAAATGCACAAATGCAGGCTTTTTCCTGGCCTGTAAAATCATCGGGTGATGACAGCACAAGGCTCACAAATCCTGCCCACGATTCCTGAGTCTGTGCCATGCTGCGAACGCCATGCTTGTGCTCGTGGTGGTGTTCATTGTACTTTAGCACATGCGCACACAAGTGAGAGGCTTCTGTAAGGGCCGGTTACATATATTGTAACATCTTCTGCACATCCTCATTCCGAGTTCTGTGCTCAGTCCCCTGGTTCGCACAAGAACCTGAAATGGAAAGCTTGCGTCTGTCCCCGCGCACAGGTGCATCATGGGTTTCATCAGCAAGGAGCGGGAGCGCGCGCTGCTCAAGGACCAGCAGCCCGGGACCTTCCTGCTGCGGTTCAGTGAGAGCTCCCGTGAGGGTGCCATCACTTTCACCTGGATGGAGCGCTCCCAGAACGGAGGCGGTGAGTGGTGGTCACAGGTCCCATCCTTGTCCCACTGAGGCCCAGGGAGGAGTCAGGAAAACATCAGGGCCCTGGCGAGTCAAGTCGCTGCCTGGAAACGGTGATTTTAAAAGACAAGGCCCACTTCTTTCCTGTCCGTCCCACCTGTCCTCTGCAGAACAGGATGGGAGTCCGTCCGCGTAGATCTGGGCGGGATCACCCTTCCTCAGCAAAGGTCCCCACCCCTGAGGGGCTTTCAGGGAGAGGGCCCAGAGGAGCTCAGACACACAAGGAGGCTCCTGTTGGTTTTCTCCACCTGTGCCCTCATCCAGGGCCAATCCCAGGGGAGCCGCAGGTTTCTCTGTTTGGTTGCACAGAAATACAACATAAGCACCTAACGAGTCCGTGCTCCAACAAGCCATAGACCCTTGCATGGATGTTGATAATCTGCTTAGAGGACTGGAAGAGAAACTGATTTGGTTTTCAGTGGGGAGACACAGAAGGCTGGAGATACATTGTTGCTCTGTTTGTTTTCTTCTGATGAAAAAGCAGAAGGGCTGGGTCAGAGCCTGGTCATTCCCCTTGCCCTGGAGGTCCATTTCCTGAGGGGAAGATTAGCAAAGCAAAGGGAGGAAAGCACTTGGCAGCCAGGAGAGTTTGAGCAGGGGTGTGAGCTGCGGAGATTAGCACAGCATGGTCAGCAGTGTCCTGAGCCCCAAGCCCCAGATTCAGAAGAAGCTCTGCACTGGGCCTGGGCATAAAAACAGGAAGGAATTAAACTGAAACTTATGACATTAAGGGTTAGAAGCAAAGGTGGGATATGAGGCTTTCAAAAAGTTGTTTTCTGTATTTAACTGTCATTTATTTTAATAAACTTCATTTTTCAAAATGGAAAGAAAAATAGAAAACGAGCTTGTCTTTCAGTCCCTCAGTCTGCACGCTGAGTCCAGATGACTGGTGGTGCTTCGTGGTTTATTTACTGTGGGCAGCATTTTGTTGGAGATGCAGATGCTCCAAGGGATTTATCAAACTACTTTTGGCCAGATCTGTAAATCTCAGTAAACAGTGACAAATGCATTGTTCCTGAGAGAAAGGCTCCTTTGCTTTTCCTCTTTTTAAGACAGGCTTCATTCAAATTAGAAGTAAAGCAGTCCACCGTGGGCCTGGTAACTCCTAGATGTCCTCCTGTCTCTCGTGACTCCCTGGGGTCCTGGGACTCACTAAGCTCTCCTCTTTGCAGAACCTGAGTTCCATGCAGTTGAACCCTACACCAAGAAGGAGCTCTCTGCCGTCACTTTCCCCGACATCATCCGCAATTACAAAGTCATGGCTGCGGAGAATATTCCAGAGAACCCCCTCAAGTATCTGTACCCAAACATTGACAAAGACCACGCGTTTGGAAAGTACTACTCCAGGCCGAAAGAGGGTGAGTGTGGTGGAGACGGGTCCTCAGCTGCGGGTCCACCGGGCTTTTGCCAACTCACCACGTGCTTTCCCACCGGGGCTCAGTGCCGCTGGAATCAAAGGCGTTATTTAGGCTGACGTAGCGCATAAGAAAAGAAGCCTACCTAGTTCATACGTCGAGTGTGGGCAGTCCGTCTCAGGTCGTGTTACATTACCACTTTCCCCATGAGGTGGGTAAAGGCTGGAAACCACGGCCGCCCAGTGTCTGCCAGCCAGCTCACATTGAAACTGAGGAAGCCGGTCCAGAAGAAGGGAGCCCGTCCCGGTTAGGTCCTGCTGTCATTAGTCACCATTACGAGGGGAGCCTTGTCTTAGGATTCGAGGCTCCCGCTTCTGGCTCGTCCCTGAGTTGCATTTGAAAAAGCTCAGCCATCACCCCTGGGACACAGCAGTGCCAGCGCTGGTTACTCTTCACGGGCAGAGAGCCCACTGTGAGGATGGCCACCCCGGTGGGTAGACACCCTCGGCCCGCTCTGTCCCCTTAGCCGCCCCAGAGCGCGCTTCGTGTGTGCCCTGCGCCTGCTCGATCCACCCGAGCCCTCCCCGGCTGCAGCCGGTCACCCTCCCTCTCCTAGTCACTCAGCGCTCCCACAGGAATCTCGGCGGGGCCAGAACCTCTTCAGAGGTGCAGGACTCGGTAGATGCATGGTTCCGCCACTTGTGGTTTCTGCTGATGAAATGTGTGCTCTGTGCTTTCTTCCAGCACCGGAGCCCATGGAGCTGGACGGCCCAAAAGGAACCGGCTACATCAAGACTGAGTTGATTTCTGTGTCTGAAGTGTAAGTGAGCGCAGAAGAGTGGCATATTCAGAAGCTCGAGCCAGCCTCCCACCTGGCTGGGGCCTCTTGACTGTATTCTGCTTTGCATTTTGCTTTTCCATTGTAACCGCTCTCGCTCGCTCTCACGGTTGGACTTCCTGGAAAGAGCCCAGTTAGGATCCTGGTGTCTTTGCCTACCAGCATTTCACTGCCTTTAAAAAGCAAAACGCAAAACACAACAAAAAGCTAAAGTTGTATTGTAAGGTATATAACTTCTCCCCAAACTGAAACTTGGAAAAAGTACAAATAAAATAAACTGTTTCTCAGTGGGAAAGTAGTTCTTTTCAATTGAAGAAAGGCCAAATAATGACTGAGATCCATTTTCTCCACTTGCTTTGATTTTGTTGTTTCATTTTGTAAAAGGCAGAAAGAGTTTTGGGAAGTCCTTGTCAGTTATTTGGCCCGCAGCACTGTCTTGGGGTGAATGGATGTAGCCTTCATGTAAAAACCCTCTGTGGATCCGCTTTGTCTGCACACAGACCTCAAGGTAGGGATGAGGGATTCCCCGGCTTCTCGGTGGCTCTCTATCCAGGGAGCCAGGAGACGCCTCATCCCAGGCTGGCGCTGCGCACGCTCTCATTCCCAGGCAGAAGTGTGCAGGTCCGTCTGGCTCTTGCTGTGCACACTTAGTGTCCCGCACACTCCCAAGGGGCCGGGCTGGGGACATTAACCTCCCACGAACCACTGTCGCAGCTGTGTTTTCTAAGCATGTGGACTTCCCCAAAGTAAGAGTGCAAAGCGGTCAATCCCAGAGAGGATAAGTGTCTGGATTTGCACCCTGCTCTCCTGACACGAGTGGTGACGCCCCGTTTCCCTCTCTCCCTGTTTCAGTCACCCTTCTAGACTTCAGACCACAGACAACCTGCTCCCCATGTCTCCCGAGGAGTTTGACGAAGTGTCCCGGATCATGGGCCCTGTGGAATTTGACAGTATGGTGAGTACAGGGGCAGGGCCGTCCCACCCTCTGTGACCAGTGCCCTCTGAGGCTGGCAGACCCTGTGTCCAGCCCACATGCTCCAGGGCCAGGAGGCGCCTCTGGCAGAGCCGTGGAAAGTGCCTTTGTTCAGTGAGCCAGGACGAGTTGGAGCCCGCAGTGTTTCTGTGGCCTTGGTCTTCAGTAGGACTTTTGTTTCCTGATACCCTGCAGAATATAGGAACACTTCAGATAAACCCAGAGTGCATGGTGGAATGTCACGTGTGAAGGGATTATTTCCCATTCAGAAAACGTTTTCTTTGCCTGTTACCTCACCACCGTATCTAAGTAAGCACGTTATCCACAGGAAGGAGCTGCACGTTGGGGCAGTACTGCTTGGTGACTGTAGTAACGAGAGTTATGCTTAGGTAGCAGCAGTGAAACGATTTCTCTTGCTTTGTATATATATTTATGTATTTATTTATTGGGAGAGCAAGTTTGGACTGCCAGCTCCTGGGGCTACAAAGGCTGGTCCAGAATGCCCCGGTCAGGCAGTGAGTCAGCGAGTTTCACGGTAGAAATAGGGACCTGATTGTTTGCGAAGGAGAGAGCTTCCTTTGGGGGAATGTTTTGCAGTACATCAAACTAGTACTGTTTGCCTTTCAGCCTGAAATCCTTCCTCTTAAAGATTATGTTTGGTTGGCTGGATTTTTGCTGATGCTACTTAATTTTAAGCTCTTTCCACATGGAACTATTCCAGCTCATTTTTTTAGTTTATTTAATGCTTTAGAAAAAAATCCTCTCAGAGTCATTACTGGCTTTTCATACCCAGTGCCTGGAAACATGCGCTCAGTCATGAACGAGGAAGTCAGGGAAGGAGGGAGGGGGCGCAAGGGCAGGAGGTCCCCGCACACCCAGGGCCATTACCCGTGTGCTCAGGGACTGCATTTGTGTGGCCTCAGTGTTACCTGTTCAGATCCGAATTCTCCTGCGTGACTTTCGCCCTTTGTCCTACCTTATGAAGTATAGGCTAAAATCTGTGGAGATCGTAGTTTCTTTTTACATCTTCCTGATTGTAGAGGATGAAAAAGGTCACTTCGAAGAATGCTTAGCTAGTGTGACAGCTGTTGGCAAACAACCTTTTTTCTGGGTATTATAGCATCCCAGCCGTGATAGTATTTTATAAGCCTGATACGAAACATGGAATAAATGTGAAGTCCAGTTCAGAAAACATAAGCTGTGTCGGTGTAGCCGGAGTGAACTTGAGCAAGTCCCATCCCCGCTGCCGCCGCCGCTCCACCGTGCTTGACGGGGCACTTCCCAAGCAGCCGGGCAGCCACACTGCCCTGGGGGAGCCATCCGGACAGGACTGGAGCGTGGCACCGCGGCCTCTGGGCGAGAGGCCCACGATGGGGATTTGCAGGCAGAGTTCCAGGGCTGTCCTCACTGTTACGCCCTGCAACCTTGAGGAAAGAAGGGGGATTCGCTCCCTCCGTCCGTCCCCGCAGTGGAGCTGCCTTCTGTGTGCTCTCGGGATGGTACTGTGGGAACAATTTAAATACTGGACGTCAAGGCCAGGAAGTGGGTTTGTGGTCCTTGGTGTCCCCTGTAGCCCTTCCACTCCACTCCAAATGATTTCATTCATTTGTAAAATAAATCTCTGTGCCTTTCGTCTCTCTCTCTCCTGTCACTCTCACACACACACACACACACACACACACACACACACACACACTTGTAGAGCCTCTAGGTAAACCACAGAAGAGCTAGAGACCTAAAAGAGGATGTAACATGGGAATTGTCCTGGTTAGGTAAAATAAAGCTTGCATTAGTCTGTTAGCTGAGTTGACTGCTCCGTGGTTTGCTGTGTCCCCAACTCTGTGATTTCCTTCAGCACCCACTTCTGGAATTAGGACCAGTGCTAGAGAAGGGAGCACCTGCTGGGAGCTGGTGATTCTCACCTAGTCTGGAGGTGGCATCAGGAGCTGCTGTGCCATCAGCCTTGGCGGCAAGAGGACCACAGGCTGCCGGGGAGGTTGTTCGAGAGAGCGGGACACCAGTGTTTTTTGCAGCATGACTTGAGAGTTTGTTCAGCCCAGACTTCTGGTCAATAAACTCCCTCTGGACTACAGCAGCGCCAGGCCACACTCCTAGGTCTGAGTAATTTTGCTTCTCTGGCTCTGACCCAAACTACATTGTTTATTTTTCTTATTGAGTGGCCTTTAAGGGAAAATCATCATTTCCCTCTCATCCTTGTCCCCTCTGGCATACAGCTCAGCATTTCTTCTCCCTTGTTTTACATGAGCAGTTTTGTCACACTGCTCTGTCCCCAGACTTGCAAAACAGCAGAAAGCTCTCTGCCATCTGGATGGGTTCACGGAGCTAAGCCCGCTGGCTACAGGGCGGTAATCCTCAGCTTAGGTGATGTAAAAGGTCTTGATTAGTCCAGGGAAACACGATGTGCCGAGGGCCCTCTAATTCCATGGTGGTTATCTGCTTGCAGTTGGAAGTATCTTCCTGCCACCCCATTCCAGAGCGGACAGTAATGTGAAATATGTGAATCTGCATGTCACAGGGTCAGTGCAATGAACTTGACCATATTTTATCTTTTCACAGATGAATGCAGTGTAGAGCGTGAATTGTTCTCATCTCTGGCGACGTTTTTTGCTTCCCATCTGCGGTTCCCTCATGCTACTCTGTTCCTTCACGTCCTGTTTCTAGGGAAATGAAAGCAAAGACAGCAAATTGCAACCTGTGGTTGCAAGTGAATATTCCTCTCACTCAGAAGCGTGGTATTCTGGAGCACTTTGTGCAGCTTAGCGACAGTGACACTGAAAGACACTCTCCCCAGTGGATTTGCGAATGAAAAACACCCAGAGAGCCCTGACACCTACGAGTAGATTGAGAGTCCTTTGGGAAAGGTGAGGAGGTTAGCAGCATCTGCAGATGCTGTGCAGGGTCAGTGCCTGAGGGCCACAGGCGTTGGACGGATACATGGTTGGTTATGGAGCCTGACGGAGGGATGGTGAATCTCTGCTCTTGACAGTTCTGTGCGGTCTCTCTGCTTAATGTGTGGCTGGAAGTTTTGCTTTATCAGTGGCACAGTTCAAAGCCAAGTTGGGTACAGTTATGTGGTATATTAACACCTTATCAAAGGTAGCCATCTCGAATCTAAGAGCACAGGCTCTACTCTTTTTTTATTTGGATCTTCCACCCTGGCCACTGAAAATGGAAGACAAATTCTGTCTTGAGAAAATTTGCCTTTTTCTGTTAGGTATGGCGAATGCTGTTGGCTAATAACAGTAGAAGGAAGTTCGTATGTTTCCCACATTCATGAGCAGCGAGTTCTCATCATATTAAAGATATTAAGTGTATTCCGCTTTTGTCTTGGTCACCAGTGAGTAAAATTATGGCCTTCTGTCAGGAGAGCCAGCCTGTTAGCAACGTATCTCTCAAGGAAAATCTTTTTTTTTTTAATTGAAATTTTTTAATAGATGTAGATAAAGCCAGAAGTTTAACTCAGATATCTTAAGTGGATTGTCTTTATTGTTAGCAGCTGGTAATCTCAGCCGTACAGTTGAGAATGGAGCAGGAAAAGTGGTAACTGACAACTTGAATCCTTAACCAGAGACAGTGTGAGAATCCAGTAACTTATGAACTTGTGTCCTATGTACCTGCACTGAGAACTGCATATTCTTCACTGATAAATGTGTTTTTCTGACAAGTACCCTTGGATGGCTCCATGATCTGTCCTGTGCTTCCTTCAGGCCCCTTCTGAATGGGCGTGTGGTTTTCCCTCCCCCATTTCCTTCCTCAGCTCCGATACCCAGAGGCTCCGTGGTAAGGGCGGGCTCTGCTGATCCATCGTCACCCCCAGCTGCACTGTTGTAGAAAAGCTTTGTTTTCCTTTGGTGGAGAATAGTTTTCTTGAAATCTGCTTTAAAAGTTGAACTGATGCATACGTACTGTATAAACATTACCTGTGCACAGTACAGTCTGCCCACAAATTGAGGCTCCGTGTTTACCTAAGACAGCATGAACCTGGGTGGGATTTGGTTCACTTTGTAAATGAAAATGATAAGAAACAAAACCACATTTTAAGAAGTACTTTTTTATTTGCTGAGAGTTAACTATTTGCCATATTTTGTCCTGTGAGAATGATGTGGTGTGCTTTCATTTTACCAGCGACCTGGCTTACTTTTAATAAGTATTAACATTCTAATATTAATCTCTCCTGAGCATTTAGTATAAAGATTTTTAAAGTTGCTGGCCTTGTGAATTGGTTTAATATTTACCTTATTTACATAACAGTCCTTGTTTTAAGATTATCATTCTTACTTACCCTGCTGCTAATCAGAACCGTGGCAGGGTGAGATAGGCCGATGGGAAAGATCAGTTTGTGTTCTTGTGTGATTGACCACTGTAAGAATCCCTGACCAGACCCTGGCTGAAAGATGTCGGCGTTTTGACAAGGCCTGGTCCCTGTGTTGCACTGACAGGTTTGGAAGGTATTCTAGGCCATTTTCCTTTCCGTTGGTGCAGGCCCACTCACTGACTGTCCTGATTAAAACCTGGCTGCTTTTTCCCTTAGAAGGGGGAAGGGATGTTGGAAACATAAACTGCCTGTGGACCACTTGGGATAATCATACTGCTTTTAAGCAACGAATTTCCTGAGATGGCAGTAAGCAAGCAAAATATGTATTTGTATGAAGTATTGTATGAAGGCGAATCTTAATGAACAGAGCCGTTCTCTGTCGCATCTGATTGTCCCAGCGGAAACAGCAAAAA